TCTTTTTTTCATGTAATTGCTGTGTACTATTAATCGCATCCTTCTATATAGGAAAAAATAAAATATATACATAGAGTTGTATAATCACTATATTGTATCGTCATCGTCATGTCGAGTCGCCGCGCTGCGCCGCACTGTATGTTTCCACTATATGGGATACTGGGACAAAAGCATCATTGCCCTTGGAAATTCGAATGAAATTTGGTATCTGGGGGTTTTCGAGGTCAGGGATCACGAATTTGAGGTTAAAATTGAGTCCCTTTAAATTTCTTTTGATAGAGACCTTATACTCTTTGGAGAAATATTGAAATAAAGCAGGGGGAATCTGTTGCCTTTTACCAATATTTAATTCCATAGGACTGATCTTTTTACCCCCAATAAATTTATTATACTTAGGAAAATCTGGATACTTTTAGTTTTCCAGAAATTAAAAAAAAAGATACTTTAAACTCAAAATTTTTCCTTGGAGTGTATTCTAATTTGGCTGTAAAAAGCACTTCATCTAGGACATTTTAAAAAATCTGGAAAAGTTGAGTAACAATAATTTATAGCCATACCGTTAGACCTTGGAATGGTTTTAAGTGCTTCTCTACAATAAAATACCAAGTGGTATCTTTGCCCTTTGTAATGCTTAAAATAAAGATCGCACTCTAAACTGTAATCTATACCATCTATACTAAATATATAAAATCCTTAAGGACTGACATACTGATTAATCATGATCCTGCTCAAACCCACTCAACGTAAGAAGCCCAATTTTGGCATAGGTTGATTCTAGGGTAAACAGGTTCGATAAGAAGGGGATTTTCTAAATTCCAGGTTCCGAGTGGGTGAAACCACCCTCAAATATTAAGTAACATTTTTATTTAAAACAAAAAAAAAAAAAAAAACGCTTAAACACGTATATTTTATTTTTGTTTTTTTACATTTTAAGATTTTAAAATGCATACAGTGTTTCGGTAACCTGATCATTGATTAATCGATCCTGCTTTAAAGCGCTTGACGTAAAAAAGCTGATTTTAAGAAATGGATTGAGTCTTTAGGGTGTAGAGGTCTGATAAGAAGGGATTTTTCTGAAATTCTATAAGTGAAATCCATCCCTCAAATATTAAAATATTTTTGTTTAAAACCGGTGAGTTTTCGGAAAACCTCTTAAAACAATGTATATATTTTATTTTATTGTTTTGCTATATTTTAAGATTTGGTATATTTATACAGGGTGCTCTGGCAAATAGCATTGAGTAATCATTGATCTGGTGTAAACTTCGTCTGACGCGTTTAAAGTTGATTTTGGCAAACAGATTGATCTGTGGTGGGGTGTAGAGGTCTGATAAGGGGCTCGAATCTCAAAACCCAAGAGGGTGAAAACGCCCCTAAAACTGTTACACATTTCATATTTAAAATTCCGTTATTCTTTCAAAACAAGTTTCACAAGGAATTTATTTGTTTTACATCTTGAATTTTTTAAAAATCACAAGAAGTGTTCCAAAAAGTTGTGTAATTGATTAATCATGACTTGCTTAAAACTGCTTGACGTAAAAGTCTTCTATTTTGGCAAATGGATTTTCTAAAAGTCAAATTACTAAGTGATATACATAATTATCGCCATATTGTTTTTTATCACGCTGACATAAATGTGAGAAAAATTTTTCCAGTTTATATGTTAATTTGAAATTGCCGCTTTGTTTTTCTTATCATCAATCATCACCATTACAAATGATTAATCTGACGAATGAAGTCGTTGGTACACGTTAGTATATTTATATTCTTTAAAACAATTTTTAACATAAAAAAAAAAAAAAAAAAAAAAAAAAAAATCCAAATAATCTTGTTATAGACAACTGTACTCATACAGTTAAGTGTTACACCTATAATCCCAAATAAGAAGTCCATTAATATTACTATATACTTGTCCAATTTTTAAGTTTGACACCTACTTTAAAAAATATATAAAAAAAAAAAAAAATAGTTATTTTTATTACAATATTTTAAAATTAAAAAAGCTTTTAAATTCAAATACTTTTATTTCTTTTAATAATTACCTATGACTCTTAGACACGCTATACATAATGAAAAATTGAGTGGTATAATGAGGGTTGAAAAATCTATATTTAACATTTCACCCGTCTTAATTTGTTTTGATAACTATAAATTTCACCAAGATTGTGCAGTCCGGGACCAGAAACAAGATTAGGAGGTTTTTTTCGCGAATGGTTCTTTTAGGCCTGAGAAATTATTTGCACTTAATTAAGAGTCAATGTGTAAACCCATCCATAGTTAAAAAATACAAAGAAACCCTTTTTAGTGAAATAAATAAAATGGATTATAATGAATCAAAATTGACTGCTTTTTTCTGCCATGTCGCATCGTCTGTCGAAATTCACCTGAGAAAAACAGAGTATATTTTTTCACCTCTATATGTAAAATATAAAAATAATATCAGTTTGATCGCTAGTAGTAGCACATGTTACTTACGATTACTACTTTACAGGGAAGATATTACATTAAATAATTCAAACATATTTAACAAAATATTAATCTCTACTGTTTCCTCTTTTCAGTTACAATGGATTCCTTCCACAGGGAGACCGCGGCAGAAGACGTAGCAAATTCGTCTTGTACAAGCGACCGGCTGCCACGGGCGTCAAGAAATCCAGGCACTATGTCGTCAAAACACCTCATTCGTCCCAAGCGATATTGGACACGATGCAACACTCAATATCGTACACGCTCAGTAGGAATCACGCAGTAATCGTCGAGTACACTAATGATGAGGAGACTGATATGTTTCAGGTTCGGTTTGTTATATTTATTTATGCTACAAGGTTCTTAGTAGAATAATTATGATTTTACTAACAACTAGTTTTTAATCACCAGTCAGAAAAACCATTGTTCAAAATTGTTTTTTTTATAAAGATAGAAACAAATTTTTATGGTATATATAAAAAATAAAAAAAAAAAAAAATTATTTGAAATCTTGATTGAGACAAATATGTACAAAAATAAAAAAAAAAAAAATTAAAGTTATATTTTTCTATATATTTTATTCTCAAAAAAAAAAAAAAAAAAAAAAAAAAAAAGCATTTATTATAAGGGTCAAACATGTTTCATTATGTTTTGGTTTTTGAGACATTTAGAGATACTAACATGCATGCTATAATAAAATGTTAATATTTTTTTTTTTTTTTTTTTTTTTTTTTTTTTTTTTATTGTTTTTTATATTTCAAAAGAAATAAACTTTCACTGAAAAAAATTGATTGCTTCTGTTTTTTACATAGGTATCAAAAATTGCTGGTCTATTTTAAATATTTATTTTTACATAAAATTTTTTTTTTTTTTTTTTTTTTTTTTTGTATTTTTAAATAAATAAAAAAAAAAAAAAAAAAAAAAAAATAGATTTATTTATATTCAGATTTTGAATAAAGAGCAATTTTCAACAATATGGCAAACCAAGAAGACTAGTAGATCAAATGTTTTGGCAAGTCTTTATTGTGTTAGTAGCCATTTCTCAAAATCGAAATAACTATTATGAGTTTATTTTAAATTTATACCCAAGCCATTTCAGTTACTAGTATTTTCCATATTCTATAGTAGAAGTAGTTCTTTGACTTTATTTCCCTACGACCTGTAGATATATGGATTTTCTATAAAAGTAGCAATTAATAAGGCAACCCATTTTCTTTACTTCCAACGATAGGTTTCTATCTCTCTCGATATATATCGACCTAAAGATGCCTTTTGCAAACTACACTAGCAGCTCTGTGAAATAGGACAAGTAGTTTTCAAAGGAACGCTTAACAGGAAGATTCCTATTTGATATCTCTTTGAGCACAAGCCTTTGGGGCCAAGATGCTAAAATATAAAATAATAAATAATTCTTAAAAAAAAAAAAAAAAAAAAAAAAAAATAAACTGTTATAAATCTAAATCTAAATAATAATGTCCACAAACCAATGCCGATTTTGTAAATAGTTAGTCACTGAAAAATTGCCATGGTTTTATTGAAAAATCGCTTCTATTCAAAATCTGAGCTAGATAGGTATAGGAAACCCTAATGAGCATTTTTCCCGAACCTAAAAATCAAAAATAAAAATTTAAAAAATACAGGGTGTTTTTTTTTTTTTTTGTTTTTATATAAAATATAGCCTTAAAATAGATCAACAACTTTTTGTACCCCTGTATAAATTTAAGGAAGTACACATTTTTCAGTAAAGTCATTTCCCACCTTTAAACTCATAGCAGAAGAATAAATTCTGAAAGTAAATGTACAGGTGTTAATAATATATTCAATTGTATGCGTATTTATATATATATCTTAAATTTTTTTTTTTTTAACATTTTAAAAACATACTTAAACCTTATAATAAAATGCCTTTTGGGGCCCAAGAACTAAAAATGAAATCTTTAAATAAAAAAAAAAAAAACATAATAAAAAATATAACTTTGTAAAATCTTAGTTCTGAAACACCTGTACATTTGCAAAAATAATTTGAAATTGTACATTGCTCCCAATTATTATAATCACTCATAAAACATTTTGTCTCTACATCTTTACGTTTTCGTATAATCAACAGAGGGGAATGAAGTGCGCCACCCTGTACTCAAAATATAAATTCTAATTTTTGCCTAGGTTAACAGGGTAAAGGAAACTAGGGGTACCTCGAAAACAGCTCAAATTCATCTATCCAAATATCCCAAGGTTTCTAAATTCAGGCTGTATGTATGTTGGTAGCAGTGGAAACACTGTTGCTAAAATGTTCTTGGCTTTAATGTAATTTCTTGTTTATTTTAGATTGGTCGATCGTCGGAATCGCCAATAGACTTTGTAGTAATGGACACAATACCCGGAGACAAAAACGGAGAGGTCAAAGTGAACCAAAGCACCATATCCAGATTTGCCTGTCGAATATTGTGCGGTGAAAGAAACAACCCAAAGTGGGCTGTGAATATATGCAGCCGGTTTCGATACATCAATGAAATATATTTTAGGGGGTATGTAATAATTTTAGTAAACGTGTGTCCCATTTTGGTTGGAATCATAGGATATCTCCGTTAGTGAAGATAGAAGGATGGCCTTGCGCAAACTTGTCCCAATTTTTTTTGTCAAACGGAAGGTGCCGTAAACAAAATTTCATAGCCCCTTGCTCTGAGCTTCTAAAGGGTCTTATGGAAATTCTCATGCACATAGGGAGCTCCCCCGTGCAGGTAATATCCTGTGTTATTATGAAAAGATATCGAGAAGGTGAAACTGTTTATTGTAGAACTTTTACGTAGAATACAGCGCGTAGTCTGTTATTCTATACACGGTGCTATAAATCGGGGTACGAGCATTAGCTGCAGGGGTATCTCGGTAACCGTAATAGATTAGAATTAGAATAAGTGGGAGGGGGGTTAATCTCAAGTAGGACTCCTAGAGATTCATTGTGTCCCCCTCTTGAGTTGTAACTCATCATACAGTCCTAGGACTTCCTATGGAGACTCCGTGTCTTCTACAGTCGAGGAGCTATGACCCAGGCCGGGTAGAGACGAAACGGTAGCTCTTGTGCCGCCTGTTGGTTTAGGGAGGTGGCTCCCGACCCTTGGATGAGGTGGTAGCTTGTATGGCATTTGCGGAGGATGGTCTCACGCAAGTGTCAGCCACCTCACCTGTAGTTCTCTTTGGGTTTGGCTCCTGCCCCCAGTGCTAGAGGGTTTCTCCACAGCTTCATCGGTGATGTTTTTATTACTATTATTACTGTAGGGGATCTCATAGTGTTCCTAAGAGTCGCTAGGGACAGTCAATCCACTTCTACAGAGCCCCGCAAGTAAAAGTGGCAGGTAAATACAAATGGGGTGCCCCTGCTTGGGGCTGTCCGTAGCCCCGCCTGGTATCGCTATATGCCTTGGTGCAATTCTCTGGCCACGACACTACAGCCAGGGACAAGACGATGAGTGAGATGCTTTTAGACCAAGCCAAGTGCTGGAGGGGGTTCCCCCAGCATCTGACCAGGAGCTTCCCACCAACGACAAGGTCTTGCATCTCGTAGGGGAAGAACCGTAATAGATAATGGAACATAGTTAAATTAGCAAAGTTGGGTACTTTGGGATGCCTCACCAAGATGCCAATGTAAAAAGTTTTAAAAATTTTTTTAAGTTTTAAAAATTATAAGGATTGCTGAGTTTTGGAAAATCAATTTTATTTATTCCTGTCGTGTTATTTTTAGAAAATCAAAAAACTAATTCACATTCCTCATAGCCATTTTATTAAAGCTATCTGAGAGTATTTTTAAATTTTGAAATTAGCTGACAATTTTTGAGATACAGAGGCCAACTTAATTTTTTAAATACGGATCTGCATTTATTTCAGATCTTTGAAGAACCCCGGTCCTGATTTCATACCGATATGCCATAATCTCTATTATCTTTCTTTTGTTTTAATTGTTGATATTTGAACACTATTTATTTGGAAACTAATTTCCTTTAATTTTAATATATAAAAACTGTTTTTTTAAATATTTAATCTATTCATCCCATAGCAATAATTGAGATAAGCTTTCAAACTTAATGACGTGAGGTAAAACATTGAATACGGAAAATGCAATAAAAATAATATAAAGCCAATTAGCTATAAATTTAATATAATTATAAAATAATAAAATCATTTTCCTAAGATCGATTGAAATGGTGAGTAAAGGATGTCCATAGAAGTGAGTAGTCCCTGAACCTATCGCTATTACTTGACGTCATTTGTAAAAGTGTCTAATCAATTCTTCCTAACATTTACAATACAAAGAGTACAAAATGTATCTGGAATTATAAAAAGAAAGTTTAAAGAGCTTATAAATAAAATTGTACCAAAAATAATCTGTGCAATAGGGATGGTGGTAACCCTTTCGAGCATGTATAACATTAGAAACTAGTTTCATTATTAATATTATACATACCATTAGATCGCGCCATTTGATTCTTAAATTCACAATAAAAAATTTTAAAATTTGACCTGATACATATTTATTTGAATCTTCCAACTGACTGATTTTCTTTATTCAGTGTTAATTAGCGTTGATCAATATTGTTGACATGAATAGTAATAAGATTAAATAATTTAAGAAACCAGAGTCGGACTTGAAATTATTTTGGGGCCACAATCAAATAGCCTTGTTGCTGCTAAGGTATCCAAAAATAAAAAGAGCAAGTGTCGCATATCATTGTGTTCAGGAGACTGAGTTCTTTCAAACCTGAAATAAAAATGCAGGTGCGTATTTAAAAAAAATTGTTGGCCCCTGAATCTCTGCCAAATATATCAGCTGAGCTGGAGTAAATCTAAAAAATAATTACACAACAGCCGTAATAAAGTGGCTATGGGAGAATGTAATTAGTTTTGATTTCCTAAAAGTTTTCTGCTCTTCCAAAACTCAGCAATCCTTGAAAAAAATAAATTTTTTAAACTTTTTAATGGCATCTTGGTGAACATCCTAATACGCAACTTTGCCTCAATTTAACCATACATAAAACTCCATGATACTCAACTCGTAAATTCCTGAATTTGTAGCACCCTGTATAATGAAAATAATATTTTGAAGGTATGAACCAAAGTTGTAACGCAACGTAATAAAAAAAAACGTCTCTAAAAATGATATCAGGCAGTTTTAAGATATTTGCATAATTCAAAAAAAAAAAAAAAAAAATGGAAAATTATATTCAGAGTTTCATTTATAATAAAGTAAAGAAATAAAAAATAAATTTTATTTGGGTCAAGTAAATGACCTAAATGCAAAATATTTTCATGGGGTCTGTCCGTCTGTCTGTAACATCGATAACTCAAAACCGCTAAACTGATTTTAACTAACTCTGCACACAAAATACTCGTAAGCAATCTGAGAATCTGGGCTATTGCCTTTTGTGGGAGTGGGGCTGATAAGGGGGTATGGGAGGGGGTTAAAATTTTAAAAATCGTAACCCCAAAATTACAGTAGCTAATGAAACGCGGTTTTCAATTTAAGATTAGAATAATATTTGTACAAAATTTGTAAAAACATCAAAATCACCTAAAGTCGCAGTTTTGAGATATTCCGTAATTTCCGTAGTCCGTTTTGAGAAAATCCGTGTAAAGAACTCCAACTCCCATCGGACGCGACCTCAGGTGGCGGATAGGGAAAATAACCGTGACCAAAATTGGAAAATTCCTTTACTTTGAAAACTAAAAGAACTGCCTACCAACTTTTATTTATATATTTTAGTATATATGTACGTGCCTCCGGGTACACTTTGTTGGTCTTATATCATGGTCTACTTCAATAAGAAATGATATCTTTTAAATATTGCACTAAATAGTGAAAATAAATATAGAGTGTTATATATTTTTGAGCTCATAGCAAGCCGGATCATATAATTTATAAATATACAGGGCGTTCTATTTGAGAAAACATAACTTTAGTTCATATCTTCAAAAATATTTTTTTCGTAGAAAAACAAAGCCACTGTATCTTAAGCCACTTCTTGATACCTTTCACAATAACACAGATATAGGGAGTGTCCCAAATTAAAAATTTCCATAAAGACCCTGTAGCTCAGAAACGAAAAGGGCTATGAAAATTTTGTTTACAGCATCTTCCGTTTGACAAAAAAGTGGGATAGGTTAGTGCAAACCACATCCTTCTATCTTCATTAATAACGGAGATACCGTATGCTTTCAACCAAAATGGGACACACTGTACAGGGTCCGGAAATAGTTCGTCGGACATCTGTAGCTCCTAATAAAAACCTTAAGGATTTTTGTTTAAGTACAAACTTAAAAAAAAATTACGCGTAAAAAATAGTTTTTATGTTAAATTGCGCTGTAATGTCAAATATGTGTCCAAATAGTACCAAAATTAAATTAAAATATTTTGAAATTCGTTGCATAATTCGCCGTTACTCTTATTTAAAATTACTTTTTTATTAAAAATGGCCACTTTTTGATCAAAAAAAGTGAAATGCAAAAATTGTGCCTCTGGATAGTTCACCGGACCCATATACAGTATGTCCCCGGATTGTCTTTACAAAAGGAAAAACTTTTTTATTATTAACGTTTTGAGAAAAATGCATTCTTCATAAAAATTTTTACTGGTTCTAAAATGGCAAATTCCGTTTATCCTTTTTTCATACCGTTTTAGAGAAAATTAAAAAAAAACATGAAAGTATAGTTGAATTTTTTGAGATCCTAAAAATTTAAAGACGTTTCTATGGTAATATAATTTCGACGAGCGTGTACCAGCGACTTCTTTCGCGTCGAATTAATCATTTGTAATGGTGATGGTAAAGCAAAGCAAAAATTTCAATTAACATACAAACTGGATAAAATTTTTTCACATTTATGTCAGCATGAGAAAAAACAATTGGGCGATATTATTATATAACTTGGTAATATTTGAGGGGTAGTTTCATCTTGTTGGAATTTGACTTTCGAAAAATCCGTTTTCCAAAAATAAGCTTTTTACGTCAAGTAGTTTAAGCAGTATCGTGGTTAAGAAATTAGCCAACTTTTTGGAAAAATCTGTACGATTTTTTAAAAAATTTCAAAATATGTAAAAAAAACAAATACATTATGCTTGTCCAAGCGTTTTCCCGAAATACTAACCGTTTCTTAAATAACAAATATTGTAATATTTGAGGGGTGTTTTCACCCTCTTGGAATTTAAGATTCGAGAAACCCCTCCTCATCGAACCTCTCTACACCCCACATCCATTTGCCAAAAATCAGCTTTAAACGTCAAGCAGTTTAAGCAGAATCGTGATTACTCAGTGGTTATATTTTATGAAATACCCTGTATAAATTTATAAAAAATCTTAAAATATGTAAAACAACAAAATAAAATATACGTGTTTAAGAGTTTTTCCGAAAAACTCACCGGTTTTTAAATAAAAAAATATTTTAATATTTGAGGGATAGTTCCACCCCTTTAGAATTCATGAGTTTCGAAAATCCTTCTCTTATCGAACCTCTACACCCTAAAGTCAATCTGTTTCCAAAAAATCAGCTTTTTACGTCAAGCGCTTTAAGCAGGATCGTGATTAATCAATGACCAGATTTTTCGAAACACCCTGTATACATTTTTAAAAAATCTTAAAATATATAAAAAAACAAAATAAAATATACGTGTTTAAACGTTTTTTCGGAAACTTGACCGTTTTTTAAATAAAAAATATTGTAATATTTGAGGGGTGGTTTCACTCTCTTGGAACTGGAATTTCGAAAGATTCCTTCTTATTGAACCTCTACACCCTAGAATCAACCTGTATGCCAAAATTGAGCTTCGTACGTTGAGCGATTTGAGCAGGATCGTGATTAATCAGTATGTCAGTCACTTGGATTTTATATATTAGTATAGATTTCATTCTTTGATAGATGGTTATTTATCATTTTGATTAACGTCATATTTTTTGCGGTTGTTAAAGTATCACATTTTTCGATAACTATTCGTAGCAATGAACTAAATAAATGTTGTGCTTCCTTAACATTTTATAATAGCAAAAAATATAACATTAATTAAATCTATTAATAATAATCTATCAAAGAATGAAATCGAAATTTTATTACCATAGAAACGCGTTATGAGTTTTAGGACTTAAAAACGGTATGGAAATTTGAAAAAGTATAAACGGCATTAACAACATCAGAACAAGCAAAAATTTTAATGAACATAAAATTTTTCTCAAAATCTCAATAAAAAAGTTTTTTCTCTTGTAAAGACAATCCGGGGACATACTGTATATTTAAATATTTAACTGTATTAGAAAGGTTGCTTTACTTTTGTCCAAGAGCCTATATCTATAATATTAAAATTGTGTAGTTTGATTACCATTGCCTTTATCTTAATTATTGTATCGTGTGTACCGGTTTGCGACAATCCAATTTTTTCTTTCTCCGAACTGGAGTAGATATGTGTGTTCAATTTCTTTTTATGGTGCAGGAAAAAGCGTGTAAATGGCAGGAGAACGGCCGAGAAATCGACGGCCAGACGACGAACGGGGTGTTAATAATGCACCCGAGCGGCGGTTTCTGTGGGGGAGAGGCCAAGTGCGGAGTGTGGCTGGAAACGTCGGTGGGGGGTGGCATTTTCACCAAGCGAGAATCCAGATCGGCTCAACAAAGGGGACAAATGGTAAGATATGGGTATATTTAGGATTTTGATATACCGTGTTGTTTTTTCTAATTTTGAAAAGGTCAAATATCTCCCCAGATAATTTTACGCAAAAGTTGTATTAGACTTTTTTGAAGAGGCGTTGTACTTTCGTCTAGAATTTCGTTTCATTTGGAATTCGCATGTAAATGTTATTTGCAAAAATCTACTTTCAAATTAGTAAAATTTATAATACGGCCCTGAGAAAGCTATAATTAAAAAATTAAAGTACCAGCCAAAATATGATTTTATCATTGTGAAATTCGATGTCACATTTTGTTTACCATAATTTGGTCCAAATAGGCTTGGTGCATTCTCCGCCAGTGCTGCTACCATCGGACAATATCGTAAACAACTAGTACCTACATATATACAAATACATGGGTTTAAATAGCTAGTATACGAAAAATTTATATTATATAATTATTCTAAAAGTATTAGGAAGTATAATATGTGAAAATTCTAAAATAGAAATAAAAAGTAAATATTTTGATTTGATATCTTCAGAAGGTCTAACTTGTATTATAATTTACTACTTGAAGCCTGGCGCATCCGCCACACCAGGAAAAAAATACTTTTTATTTTTTTTTAATTAAATGAAAAACAAAAGATCCGGCGACGACAGTTTTTAGAAGAGCCAATTAGTAAAAAAAAAGCAACTTTCTATAGTAAGTCGTTACTTTAGTAGAGACGACACAGATAAACATTAGCATTTTATATATGTAGATTATTCCAGCTAAAAAACTTTTTAGACGAGTTCAACTACGGTAGCGAGCATAGTTTTAATCACCGGTTTTGCTAGTGGTGTCATTCAATGGCACTATTTGTCAATTGGCGCTATTTCGGGTATAACGACATTTTTTAAAGGTACATAATTATGATTTTAGATGTCCATAAAACATTTAATCACTCGTTGATTAAAAAAAATATACCATTAATATTGCAAATTATATATCCTCTCATAGTATATGTCTATTTAATTTTTTGATTATGTAACGAGCACTTTGTTTACTCACTTGTTTCGTCGTACTGCTTGAATCCCTTTTTGCTTTTGATCAAATCGGTGTGAGAAATTATGAATCTATGTATAAAATGTTGTTTCGGGAGAGTTGAATATCTGGGAAAGTTGAGTTATTGAAGGTTATGCATCCAAAAACGACCTAATTACGCTCTCCTTTACGCGTTAACATTTTTTCGGCAATTTTGTTAACATTTTAAATTGTCACACGACGCCTAGTTCGAATTCTTTTTCACTTATTTTTTACTACCTGAAACAGTGTTACATTACACAAACCTCGTACCTGTTTTACAGTCACAATAACTAAAATACTTAAATGTTATGACAAAGCCACGATTTCGATATTATTTTATGAAATACATAGCGAAAATTTCTGATTTCTGCCGTATACAGGAAGCCACGTTCGGAATTTTTTGAAATCAACTGATATACACCAAGCCTATGCAGTAATTTTCTATAAAATATGATTTTCACAACTTCCGAAAAAGTTACGATGGTTAAATGGCATTTTGCTGGTATCCCCGCTGGGTGAGATATATTAGCAGCTTAGTACCAAATAAGTCAACGGTTTAAAGAATAATCCTATAACAGGTATGAAACTAAAGCCTCGGTAAGACGAAACAAGACGAAAACAACAATGATTTGAATATTCTTCTTCATGCTGAAGAAAGGAAAAACATTGACTCCCGTCTATTGGGGAGATAGTAGGAATAAAGAGCATTATTATTAGGACACTTAAGATCATTAGCTATCACAAGAAATAATTGTCTTTCGCAGACCACGACTTCTTCCTTTGAAACACACCTGAACTGAACTTTGAATCACACCTTGAACTGAACAGCAAACAAGTCATACCCCGCGAATACTATTCTCAGTTCAGCTACTTCCTTTGTGGAAGATTATTCCAAATCAGAAAATAATTAACCACCCTTTCCAAACTACAAATTCTTGTAAATAAAATGTGACATCGAATTTGACAATGATAAAATCGTATTTTTGCTGGTATTTTAATTGTAGCTTTCTCGGGGCCGTGTTAGAAATTTTTAGTAATTTGAAGGTAGACGTTTGTACATAACATTTAAATGCCTATTTCAAATAAAACGAAATTCTAGAAGAAAGTACAACTTTAACGCCTCTTCATAAAACTCTAATACGACTCTTGCATAAAATTATCTGGTGAGATAATATTTGACCTTTTCATAGTTTACATGGTATGTCCTATGTCCCGTGTTCTGATAGAATACCGACTGTAGAATACCGAAAAACGGTATAATACTAGTAATAAGCAAAGTAAGTATCGATGTTATATATGTTATATCGATGTTTGTGCGTGGAACAATTTCTGGTCATGTGTAGTCAATATCTATGTTAGGATTTCTTATCGTTTGTTGCAAGTAGAGAACTTGTTGACCTGTTCTGTTATTGAATTACGTACATAAAAAATCCTATCTAATATGGAAGTAATAAAAGCGCGTATAAGTGAAGTCGCGTAAAACAAAGCACTCCTGTTGTTAGTATTAAATATATATTTTATTTGTATTACAGGTCGAAGATGTAACAAATGTATTACAGGATGGTACTTTAATAGATCTATGTGGGGCAACACTCTTATGGAGATCTGCTGAAGGTTTAGAAAAAACACCTGTAAGTAGCGTGAATAATATCTAACCGTAAGTGCTGTTTCACCTATTGTTTTTTTTTCATTCAAACATTTTAAAAAACCCATCCATTTACTTTTAGTGCATAGCAATTTTCAGCAATCGTGTAACTTTTTTATTTATAAACATTTTCACATACTGTCTGCGAAGAAAGTATAGGAGAAATGTTAAGAAAGTCTTTGAAAAAAAACTACAATCAATTATTTCTAATGGATTTCGCGATATTAATTTTTGAATTCAGTGGGATATTAATTTTTGAGTTCTAATAGCGCGACCACTGTCGAACACCAACTCAATTCCACTAATTTTTACCAAAACTGCAAGTGTTTTTAACTTGCACTTAAAAATTTACAAATTATAATAGACCGAGAGACCTACATAAAAAACCTTTTTATCGGTACATGGCTAATTTTTTGTGTGAAGTATCCTTATGTGTAGCCATTGTGAAATAGTCATGTCTGCCAGCGCGATCCCGGGGCTTAAAGCGGGGGCGGTCAATCGAAAGGGTGAAATTTTGACACTAAAAATATTATAAGGTACACGAGTTATAATTGCCAAATAGCTGTTATTTATTATTAGGAAACGTGTAAAATTGTTGACAAACATTTTTCTCGTGGCTGAAATGCCGGCAGACAACGCGAAAGAGGCATAGAATTTTGACAAAATAAAATCATCGCATACATGCATGTCGATTAGTGGAATGTCATGTTCATTGTTAATTAATTTAAAAAGCCGTATATGCAAAAGGGCAGACAAAAAAAATCGTTATTGAAATAATAAAAAATATATTTATAATATAATCGTATATTATATGATTTATCTATACTTAAATGGATGAGGCGACCAGCGTTCCCTAAATTAAGCGCTAGAGTAATATCGCGCTTTTGATAACTGTCTGCAGCTGATTGAGCCACGATCTTTCTGTCTGCCCTTTTGCATACGGCTTTTAAAATAAATAAATATGAAATTTCACCAATAGGCATGCAAATATGCCATAATTTTCTTTTATATATTTTCTTTTAATCAAAATATTTTAGGAAACAAAAATAAATTAATTATAAATATACAGGGTTGTTCACCACATACGACACGGAGTATTGTAGCTAAACGATTAGATTTTTACAAATTGTAAGTTTTGGGTTCGTTGAGGGACTATTAGAGCTACAATTTAAAAATATTTTTACAAGATACAGAGTGTCCCAAATAAATAAAAAATATCAAAGTTGTATTTTTTTAAATGGAACACCCTGTATATTATTGCATTTTTAGTTTCTACGATTAAAATAAAGGTAAATTTGATTAAGGTTTATTGCACTTAAACCTTGCCGTTTTTGAAATATTTTCAATTTTGCGAAATTGCAGTATAAATTTTAAGGCTTCATTTCTCCGAGGATATCAAAGTTTTTAATACTAAATATTTACTGAAGTTTATTTATTGATCAGTTATTGTGTTGTAATAATAAAAATTATATTACCTTATACAGAGTGTCTAAAAATTTATTTTAAATAATTACTAACTTTAAACGGCAATAACTTATTTACTTTAAATAGAACACCCTGTATATTTTATGAGAATCGGATGCACAATTTAATTGTCTATCAAATTGTATTATACCACTTCTTACCTATTCCTTCAAGTTTTCGTAGAAAATGCATTTTCTTCTAATTTAGACCTCATTTATCAATATACCCATGGTATATTGACATTTTAAATTCTTTTTAAAACAACAAATGTACAAAATGTACAGGCTAGTAATATATATCGTTTTTAGTAAAACGATAATATTACTAGACCATTTGTATGCAAAAAGAAAACTATTTAAATCTTTATAAAAGAGAAGAAGAATAATACCCTCGAGTATACCATTAATTAAATATACCACTGCGCAAATACTAATTAATTACATACTTAATTGTGTTCGTTAATAAATTATTCTAAATAAATGTGGATTTGAATCAGAAATTAATATAATAATAAGTTATGAAAATGAACGTATTTGTTGTTATAAATAAGCATTTGTCAAAAAATTAAATATCATTTTTAAGGTGTTACTTTTTACCACACTGTCTAATACACATACATAATTCAGTTTTTTAGTATTTGGAGCAATTATTATTAATCAACGCAAACAGTCAATTATTGTAGTTTGAATACTGGAATCATATTAATTGGTCCTTTTTAACAAATATTTAAACAGTTTTTTTTATTTTTTAATGAAATAAACGAACTATATCGACAATATCAGTATTTGTACTCTTTAAAAATTTGGTACATCTTTAAAAATAATCTAAAATGTCAGTATTCCATGGGTATATTGATAAATGAGTTCTAAATTACAAGAAAATGCATTTTCTACGGAAACTTGAAGAGATAGGTAAAAAATGGTATAATACAATTTGATAGACAATTAAATTGTGCATCTGATTCTCATAAAATATACAGGGTGTTCCATTTAAATTAAACAAGTTATTGCCGTTTAGAGCTAGTAATTATTTAAAATAAATTTTTAGACACTCTGTATAAGGTAGTAAAGTTTTTATTATTGCAACACAATAACTGATCAATAGATAAACTTCAGTAAATATTTAGTCTTAAAAACTTTGATACCCTTGGAGAAATGAAGCCTTAAAATTTATACTGCAATTTCACAAAATTGAAAATATTTCAAAAACGGTAAAGTTTAAGTGTAATAAACCTTAATCAAATTTACCTTTATTTTAATCGTAGAAACTAAAAATGTAATAATATATAGGGTGTTCCATTTAAAAAAATACAACTTTGATATTTTTTATATATTTGGGACACTCTGTATCTTGTAAAAATATTATTAAATTGTAGCTCTAATAGTCGTTCAACGAACCCAAAACTTACAATTTGTAAAAATCTAGTGGTTTAGCTACAATACTCCGTGTCGTATGTGGTGAACAACCCTGTATAAACAGTTATTATTTACATCAACAAAACTCACCTTCTTAACGGCCCTTAAAGGAACATAAAAGACCATTATTACCGATTTCCCGTTCAAAATATTCTAATAAAGTTGCAATGAGTTTTTTATTGCTATTGCGCTACCTTGTACACTTCACACTCTTTTAGTGCTAACCTCTTTTAGGTTCTAAAAATAATGTTCGACGAGGCAAGGTCTGCTAGTAAACATTTTCAAGCTTAACGTATCACAACACTATTTATTTAAACCAAAAACTCGTAATACAAAACTAAAGTATCAAAACGAATGACAATGTCAGGAAATAAATAAATAAATAGCAACTGGACGTTTTTTACAACAGAGCTACCACCTGAATCCCCAGCGCGAAATTTAAATTCCAGTTAGTCAGCGCGGCGCCGAATATGTCCATTAGTAGTGGGAACTATCGAATGAATACTATCGAAACATTCGATAGTTGCAATTCATTCGAATAATTCGATAGCTAGTAAAAAAACATTCGTTGAAAACTATTCGAATAAAAATTATCGAATAGATGCCTCATCTGCCTTGAAATATTGTATTCTAGTAATTCGGCAGCAAAAACCATTCATTTATAAAATTCATTCATTTATTCGTCAGGATCGATTATAATAAAATATTAACTGGATTTTAGTTGTCGCCCGGCCACGTAGGTTTCTTTCCGAGAAGCCCGACAGCGGTCGGTGGCAATGCTATGAAAGAAGCCGGCATCTTTGATTTTTTGCGGAGTCATATAAAGATAAGGACACATTATTTTTTTTATTGAGGTGCTAGTATTTACACAGAAAATACATTATGGAGGGCGCTGTTGCCATATATTGGTATTAGTTGATATTAGCAAAGAATATTATTGTTTGGCTTTAGTTAGTTAGGTATAGTATGTCTATATATTTTGCATTTTTTTATTAATATTCTGTTGTTATACTGCAATAATACTTGTTATTTTGGATGTAGGAAAATGATTTTTAATGTTTTTAAGCAAAGACTGGTTTAATAAAAATAATAATAACAGTAATAATTTGTTATACCTATTAACAACAAAATTTAAAATAATTTATATAAACATTTTTTTTACGTAATAGCAAAATATAAACAACAAATTAGATGTCAAAATTATTTATATTAGATCCTATTTAAAAATAAAATAGTCTTTAAATTTTTTGTGGCAACGTTGGTTTATTAAATATTAATAATTACAGAATTAATTTGTTATATTAACAACAAACTTTAAAATCATGATATATAAACATTTATTAATTTTCTAAGCATGCAGTGTAATGGAAGGAAAATATAAATAAAAAATTAGAAATCAAAATTATTTATATTAGGTACTTTATATTACTGTTTAAAAATAATATTTACTTTTACTGGCATTTACTTTAAAAAATAAATGAAATATTTCTTCGCAAAAAACTACATGTAAGAGAATTAGCATAAACAAAATGCAAACATCTTTAACTTATTTTTTTAAATTGGCACGTGTCAAACTTTCAATTTAATTTTCTCACCCATAGTTTGAGTTCGAGAACCGTTTACTTAACCACATTACTTAAATATGATTATTAAGTTCAACTAATTCGTATTATTAAAACATCTAAAATACAAATATGTATTTTTAAAATTAATTCTAAGTTCATCTCATCTCTCTTAAAAATTGCTACTTCTCAAAATTTCCCATTAAAAAATAGACCTATAGACCATATAAAATAAAATAATTGAAAGATCGGGCTACAGAAAATCACACAAATTTTCGGAAAAATTTTGACACCTGCATACGCACACAATCGTCAATTAAAAAAAAACTACTATTTTAGTATTTTAAATATTTTAATAAACGTAAAAATAGTACAGTATTTATAAGGTGAAGTTATAAAAATTTGGAAGAACTAATAATGCACTGACGCACACAAAAATCAGACGAATACTAAATTTCATTTATCAAAAGCATTCGATAGTCGTGGCTAAACGATAACCATTTAGTCGCACGGCGAGGTTGTCACATATGCTTTAGTATACAAATGAATGAATGATTTTATTCGAATAAAACCATTCGATAGTTGAAATCATTGATTCAGTAACCATTCGATAGTCTAATTCATTCGATAGTTCCCATCGCTAATGTCCATGGTTGGCAACAATGAATTTAAAAATCGCGCCCTCGATTATGTAACTAAAAGTTTAATTATTGTTATGAAATATAATTATTCATTGAAACTGTAGTAATGAGAATGTTTTTGTTTTTATTCTTTCCAGAGCAAACACGATTTAGAAAAAGTAATAGACGAAATAAACGCGGGCAGACCGCAATGTCCGGTGGGACTGAATACCCTCGTCATACCAAGAAGGGTGTCGCCCAACGAGAACCAGCAACAACCGTACGTTTACCTAAACTGCGGACACGTGCAGGGATTGCACGATTGGGGCCAAGATAAGGATTCGGGCGCGAGAAAGTGCCCTATATGTTTAGAGGTTGGTTGGGTTTTGTTTTTCATACACCATTAATTGATGTTGGTAATTATTACAACACGCTTGTCGAATGTAATACCACAAGATGTTTCGAGATTACCGAATAATACTTTTTAGTCCTCCCTCGGAGTCGTAGTGTTGCCGGGTACCGCATTGAGTGTCAGGCAAAAGTATTAGGTAATACCAAACATCGAGTTGTATTCAAAAGATTATACAACGAAATAAAGTACATATATCCTTCTTATTTTTTTGCCATTTTGTAATAAGAAATGACGGGATATTTTGTGGAACTGACAGAAATGACTTCTTTCTTTTCAAACTCTCCTTTTCATTAGAGAGTTGCGTTGCCTAGGCTGCCAGGACCATTCTAGCAAAGTACTTTTCTGCTTTTCTTTTTTCTGGGTGGTCACGTTTTATGAACCTTCACCGATTTATCCTTCTTAACGACTACTAACAATTATTGAGGCTATTAAACAGGTTGCTTTAAGCTCTGCAACTATTCAGTTATGCACGCATTCTACAAGTACTAAGCAGCTCTAAATCGCAATAATTACTGTGCATTTCAAGAAAATGTGATTATGACATTTCAAATTTAATTATTGTTTAAATTTAATTATTTAATTTACTTCTGAATTAATATTTTAAAAAATGACAATTGCAATAGGGCCACCATGCGAAAATCACTTAAATGATTAGGTATCACTTATTAATCACATCCTTCTATACATAGAGTTGTATAATTAAAGTTTTATTTACCCACAAACATTTCAAATATCGATATACAGGGTGGTCCGAACTGTATTCCGGAAACTTCGCCAGCATATTCTGCAGATAAAAACAAGTAAATAAGTTCGTATAAATGTATGTCCTAAAATGCTTACTTTTGGAGAGACAGGGTGTAGAAGTTTCATTTTTATGTCAATTTTTTCCAAGTAATTTCTTAAGTAACAGCAATATTTGGATGAAAATTGGTGTCTGGGATTTTTTTTTGACATGAGAAATTTGATTTTGATGCCAATATGACTCCTACTTGTAGAGGGCGCCACTTACATATTTTTTAACTGGTTTGAAGGGTAATAACTTTTCTAAAAAAGGTCTCTTGGTAAAAATCGCTACAAGTAATGGGTCTCGAGATATTTCAAATCGAAATTATCAATACCTGTCCTCATTGACATAAATTAAACATGTTGACTGAATAGTTATTAGACTGGAATCATAAATTTGAAATGATTTTGTGTCAAAAGTTTAAATCTAGTTAATATTTTAGAAAAAAAATGTTTTATCATTTTTTCGAGGAAAAATTTATTATTAATTTAAAACAATAAGAAGTTCCCAAATTTATCATTTCAGTCAAATGACTTATCTATTCAACATTTGTTTTATCATTAATAACATGTATTGACTACTTCCATTCTAAATATCTTGAGAACGGTTGCTCGTAGCAATTTTTACCAAGACACATATTTTACGTAAAAAATCACGGAAATGTATATTTTTTCACTCGGTAGTTTTATACAGGTACGGACGAAAAGTAATTACTCTTCAAAACAGTTAAAACACATGTAGGTGTGGCGTCCCCTACAAATAGGAGTTATATTCACATCAAAATCAAATTTCTCAAGTCAAAAAACTCCCAGACACCAATTTTCATCAAAATTTTGATGTTACTTCAGAAGTTATTTGGAAAAAATCGAAATAAAAATGAAACTTCTACACTCTGTGTCTCCAAAACTAAGCAATACATACATTTTGACGAACTTTTTTACTAATATTTTTATCTGCTGAATATGCTACCGAAGTTTCGGGAATACAGTTCGGGCCACTCTGTATACTTAATTAATTTTCATGCAAAAAAATGGACTGGAATGATTGTAAATTGTAGATTTAATTTAATGCATTAGCAATTTAGTAATATTTTATTTTGATCTTTTAGCAGGGACCAGTTGTTAAAGTTTGTATGGGATTGGAACCGGCATTCTATGTAGACTCAGGATTACCAACTTTTGCTTTCAACCCTTGTGGCCACATGGCTACAGAGAAAACAGTAAAGTAAGTGTGAAAATATTCGAGTTATACAGTTCTTTCCAGCGAAATAACTAAATAATCATTTGTATACGGTTATACAGGGTTGTTCATCACATACGACACGGAGTATTGTAGCTAAACGATTAGATTTTTACAAATTGTAAGTTTTGGGTTCGTTGAAGGACTATTAGAGCTACAATTTCAAAATATTTTTACAAGATACAGAGTGTCCCAAATAAATAAAAAATATCGAAGTTGTATTTTTTTAAATGAAACACCCTGCATATTAATGCATTTTTAGTTTCTACGATTAAAATAAAGGTAAATTTGATTAAGGTTTATTACACTTAAACCTTACCGTTTTTGAAATATTTTCAATTTTGCGAAATTGCAGTATAAATTTTAAGGCTTCATTTCTCCGAGGATATCAAAGTTTTTAATACTAAATATTTACTGAAGTTTATTTATTGATAAGTTATTGTGTTAAAATAATAAAAATTATACTACCTTATACAGAGTGTCTAAAAATTTATTTTAAATAATTACTAGCTTTAAACGGCAATAACTTATTTAATTTAAATAGAACACCCTATATATTTTATGAGAGTCAGATGCACAATTTAATTGTCTATCAAATTATATTACACCACTTCTTATCTATTCCTTCAAGTTTCCGTAGAAAATGCATTTTCTTATAATTTAGACCTCATTTATCAATATACCCATGGAATATTGACATTCTAGATTGTTTTTAAAACAACAAATGTACAAAATATACAGGCTAGTAATATCACCGTTTTTAGTGAAACGATAATATTACTAACCCATTTGTATGCAAAAAGAAAACTATTTAAATCTTTATAAAAGAGTATACCATTAATTAAATATACCACCAGTATTTCCGCCCAAATTCTAATTAACTACATACTTAATTGTGTTCGTTAATAAATTATTCTAAATAAATGTGGATTTGATTCAGAAATTAATATAATAATAAGTTATGAAAATGAACGTCTCTGTTGTTATAAACATTGCCTGGAAACTTATATGGTGAAATTTTGATAAAATAATTTAGTACACACTAAAAACACGGTATGTCGCATAGTGGTAGGAAAATTAATTTTTAGAGGTTACTAGTTTATTTGGTTGCCTGTGATATGCATATTATACAGGGTGTTTCCTAATTAATCTAAAAAATAAAAAATCGTTAGAAAACGAATTAAGGCGGGCTCTTAATAAGTATTTTTTTTTTCTCGACAACCGTTTGATGAACAAGAAAAACTCAAAAGATCAATTTTGTTGAAAAAGGATGGCCAGTCAAGAAAAAAATATATTTTCTGTAAAAAAGCAGTGGTGTACCATTTATGTTAAGCAAAAAAATCGATTTTTTTAAATTTTTAACACCCTGTAGATCAGAAAGGAAGTACTTTAGACCTAATGGTTATATAAAAATTGTTTTAAGAACACATGAGGAATCACACCATAATTTTTTAGACTAATTCGAAAACACCCTGTATATTGTCAACTTGACAATGACTGCTGATAAATCAAAAAATACCTTTTCAGTGAAAAAAGCCTGATTTTCGCAAGAAAAATTTTGATTTTTATTGAATTTGGGCCTGCGTTTGCAAATACTGGTTTGTTTTTTAATTTTCTATATATCTAAATTATAAATATCATAGTCAGAAATAGTTTTATTATTTATTAACTGTAAAAATGGTGTTTTCTTGTTGTGTTGCATCTTGCAAAGAAACAAACAAAACTGCAAAACTGTACGTGTTTCCAAAAGACGATAAGGTATGTATCTTAGATAAAAGAAAAATATATGGTATGTATTCGTTGTTTGATTTTTTTCGTTCGCTTTAAAATCTATAAATCTCGGTCTATTCATTAGACAGCCAGTCGACTTACGATCATTTACATGAAACTCTGTAAAATAAATAAAAAAATAAATTGTAAAATATATATATTCTTATGTTTTATTAAAGTTACTCTGATATACTAATATATCAGTGTAACTTTAAAAATAAATCCTTTGAATTCAAATATAAACATAAAAAACATTTACAGCAGAAAAGGCGAAGGCGCTGGGTTAAAGGTAGTCTTCACTAAAAACACGGAGGGGCGCTTTGACCCAAAGTTTTACTGTTAAGTTTCATATCTATCTTAATAGTAGATTATTTTCTTTTATCTATGGTTATAAATAAGCATTTGTCAAAAAATTAAATATCATTTTTAAGGTGTTAATTTTTACCACACTGTCTAATACACATACATAATTCAGTTTTTAAGTATTTGGAGCAATTATTATTATTGAACGCAAACAGTCAATTAATGTAGTTTGAATACTGGAATCATATTAATTGGTCCCCTTTAACAAATATTTAAACATTTTTTTTTATTTTTTAATAAAATAAACGAACTATATCGACAATATTAGTATCTGTACTCTTTAAAAATTTGGTACATCTTTAAAAATAATCTAAAATGTCAGTATTCCATGGGTATATTGATAAATGAGTTCTAAATTACAACAAAATACATTTTCTACGGAAACTTGAAGAGATAGGTAAAAAACGGTATAATACAATTTGATAGACAAATAAATTGTGCATCTGATTCTCATAAAATATACAGGGTGTTCCATTTAAATCAAACAAGTTATTGCCGTTTAAAGCTAGTAATTATTTAAAATAAATTTTTAGACACTCTGTATAAGGTAATAAAGTTTTTATTATTGCAACACTATAGCTGATCAATAAATAAACTTCAGTGAATCTTTAGTATTAAAAACTTTGATACCCTCGGAGAAATGAAGCCTTAAAATTTATACTGCAATTTCACAAAATTGAAAATATTGCCAAAACGGTAAGGTTTAAGTGTAATAAACCTTAATCAAATTTACCTTTATTTTAATCGTAGAAACTAAAAATGTAATAATATATAGGGTGTTCCACTTAAAAAAATACAACTTTGATATTTTTTATTTATTTGGGACACTCTGTATCTTGTAAAAATATTTTTAGATTGTAGCTCTAATAGTCCTTCAACGAACCCAAAACTTACAATTTGTAAAAATCTAGTCGTTTAGCTACAATACTCCGTGTCGTATGTGGTGAACAACCCTGTAGACACTTTAATCTCCGTGGTCTGTATTTTAATGCATGCGACACAGATTAATTAATGACCGGTTGATAGATAGAGAGATGAAATAAAAAGCGACATACAGTTTTGCCGGTTTGGTTTGGTTTGGTAATTATTTAAAATAAATTTTTAGACACTCTGTATAAGGTACTTAAGTTTTTATTATTGCAACACAATAAATGATTAATAAATAAATTTCAGTAAATATTTAGTATTAAAAACTTTGAAACCCTCGGAGAAATGAAGCCTTAAAATTTATACTGCAATTTAACAAAATTGAAAATATTGCCAAAACGGTAAGGTTTAAAAAAAATTTACCTTTATTTTAATCGTAGAAACCAAAAATGTAATAATATATAGGGTGTTCCACTTAAAAAAATACAACTTTGATATTTTTTATTTATTTGGGACACTCTGTATCTTGTAAAAATATTTTTAGATTGTAGCTCTAATAGTCCTTCAACGAACCCAAAACTTACAATTTGTAAAAATCTAGTCGTTTAGCTACAATACTCCGTGTCGTATGTGGTGAACAACCCTGTAGACACTTTAATCTCCGTGGTCTGTATTTTAATGCATGCGACACAGATTAATTAATGACCGGTTGATAGATAGATGAAATAAAAAGCGACATACAGTGTTGCCGGTTTTTACGCGTGTAGGCAGCATTTCTTCTATGCGGTAGTACCGCATAGAAGAAATGTATCATCCAACTTTTATCTCTTTTTAATACATTTGATTTTTGATTAAGCTGTCTACATCACTGTTTTAAGGACCGCTTAGACTCTCCGATAATTTGCGCAAACTGATTTCCGCAGGCCAAACTGTACAAAAGTTATTTATTTCAAACTAATTTTTTGTTTACACATTCAGTTAGTTTGTGCTATTTGTGTCTGACGGTTTTTAAGTAAATAACCTAAAATACATTCGACAAACAAACTTTACCGTTAAATCCATAGGTTAATTCTTAATCAACAAATGTCAGAATTTCTAAAACCGTGGTAAAATGTAGATTGTTTAGGAGGGGAGTTAATCACCGCGACCTCTTACAGATCTATTGTGTGTTCCTCTTTCTTGAGTTATAACGAGTTATAACTGATGTCTCAGGTCTTTAATAAAAGCCAGTATCTGAGACGGCTCCACAGAGGCCAGCTCCTCGATATTAGCCGTACCAAAATTCATGGCACGAACGGTCGTCGTCTCGGCGCACTCAGTGATAAGGTGTTCTGGTGTTTCCCCATTTTCCCGACAGAATTTGCATTCGCTGTTGTTCCTCACCTTCAGTCTACTGAGGTGTTCGTTGAGGAGACAGTGTCCTGTTAGAAACCCCGTGACAATCCGAAGATTAAAACAAAGTAACAAAAAAAAAACTTAAAAATAAAACTTAGTTTTTTTCTGCATAAGTTTTATTTTTTAATCCGAAGATTGTTTTTACTTAAATCAACGAAAATCTTTGATTTTTGTCGGTCGTAAGTACTGAGGAACTTTTTCGAGTGTTGGAGGACTCCCATTCCAGGTTACGGATGGAGTCTTCCGGGTTCCTCAGTTCCGCCTTTAGTGGGTTTCCGCCTTGGAAAACCGAGCGGTTCTGGTCTAGTTAGTGGAGTGTTCGCTCCTTTTCTAGCTAGATCATTTGCTATTTCATTGCCTTCTATCTCTTGGTGAGCGGGCACCTAGAGTAGGAGTACTTATTTTCTTTGCCAAATTTGTTCAGCTTCTCTAGACATTCTTTGACCAACTTCGAATTGATGGTTGAACTAACTTGATCGCGTTTAGTGCTGCTTGACTATCAAATAAGATGGCTATTTCCTGTTTTTGATAGTTTCTATCTAAGATAAATTGTACGCATTTTTCGATAGCGTAGATTTCTGCCAAACCAA